CAGAATCTCCCTGTTGTAATTAAGAATATGTAGGTTAGGTATTATATAAAACTTTATTAAACTGTGGATATACTTCACACGTGTCGTACCCCTCGAGGTATGTGCAAAAGTGTGACCGAAAAATAACGACAGCCTTATCCTGGTACATACTGGCGCACTGTTCATCAGTAATTATCGGCAAATTAACTTTTTGAAGAATTTTAGAGGGCGTTCCCTTTTCTATGAGCCGACCCCACCCGGCCACAGTTATAACACCGGACACCTCAGCCCTTTGTATTATCGGTAAACATACCGGTCCTACGTGTGGACCAAAGTTAAAATTGCGGTCCATTTTGATGAGACATACATCGGAATTCATTTCTCCAAATGAAAACTTTTACCAAAAATAAATACATTTAACAAATATGTGAACTGTTATGTGAACAAATCATTAATTACAAATGAAATTACTTTTGAATGGACTCTAATGAGTTGTAATCTGTATTCCTCGCCATCGCGTAGACTGTGAGCCCCCGCGTGAACTGAATAGTCGGCGATTTGGTGCTCACGACTGTTACGACAAATTTTGTTTAATTTCTCTTACTATAGATTTTTATGTTATTTTCGGATCAGAATTATTAAAGTAATCAAGATACTTAAAATACTCGTATACTGTATCACCTCAATCTTAAGACTCCCTGTCCAACCAATACTACAGAGGACATACAGTACCTACTCTTTAAAACAATGAGCGGCCGTAATGACCCAAATGTCGTCAATAATAGCTCCGCCGCATACGGTATTGCCGTTTAATTTGATGATTACAAGGAATGGGAACTCATTTCTCACGGCCCTCTCACCTCCGACTATATAGTTGAGGGCAGGCTTTAAACCACAGTTTTCGCTATTTACATACTCTATATAACAATACAAATATTAATTATAATATGTTCATAATTAAATAATTATAATTAACATACGATTTCTTATTGATTTCAATTGTAATAAAATTAGTGCCAGCGTAAAAAAGATTTTACTGTCAATAATAAAATTCATTTCATTGGCGTAAATGCCTTTTTACATTACTTTCATTTTTAATTTCACAACAAAATGAAGTCTGAATTTATTGTTTATACTGATGTGAAGGTACTTAATTAAAGATACAACTTAAATGAGATTTACTTTAAATGATATAAATAAATAATTTACAAATTATAATAAATTAGTATTAATTATACACTAGAATCTAGTGACTAGATTATACTTATTTAAAAGCATTTTCGTAAGAGGATTAGTGTTTAGTTTTTAACGCTTACAATATATTTAATTAATAATTTTGTATAATGATTTCAGAATGAAATATTTAATCAATAGAGTATAAATATCTAAAATACAAACATATTTGATTTCATAGTAAATTTTATACTCAAAGAATTCTGGTTAAAATTTTTAAAATACCTGGGTATTGGTGGGATATCATAGCCTGATAGATAAAGCAACTGAAATACTACTAATATTAAGTTCATGTATGAATTTATAAATTAGAAAAACAATATGAGATGATTCCCAAAGGGAAACTATAAATAATTTAAAAATTATTTTTGTATAAAAATTATATGATAATTATGTCAAAAATGATTAATAGTTATGCAATTTATAAAATCTGTCCCAAAATGTGATTTCATCTTCAATCCAATCCATATAATTGGCAACATTTGTGAAAAGTGATGGTCGATCCAAGTCAAACGGCTCGGCCATTGAGGCCACACCTATGATGATAGCTCTTTGACGAGAATCATTGTAATAGACAAGAGGTCCCCCAGAATCACCCTTCAAAACAATTTGTTTTCAATTAATGATTTAATTAATTGTTATATCCTTGAAAATCATACATACAGACGAACTGCCCATTTGATTACCACCACTACATATAATATTCTCATCGATATAGCGGTTTAACTGATGTCGGGTTTCCACCGCATAACTGATTTTACACTTATCTAGGCTTACAATCGGCATATTATCAGCTTTATGTAGCATTTGCTACATTTCAATGGTCAATGAATTAATAATTAATACAATACTTTATAAGCTATAAGTTATAGCATTAGAATAATGATTAGAATTGGACATACAGTCTTATTATAAACAGGCATTTGTGTGTTAGGGTGCAGGTATCTAACTTGTCCCCATCCGGCCAACGTGGACACCCCGTTGAACTTCTGGCCTTTATGTGGCAAACAAATGCTATTCACTAAATAATAACCAAATATTTGTACCATTCGTATGGGTTTCGTGACTCTAATGAGTGCAATGTCTGCGAAGTTGTCTTCATTATCATCAATGATGTGGTATGTGTTGAACGGATGGCAAACTATTCTGGAGATCTCGCTCTCATAACCATACGTCCAGTTCACTGAACCAAAACGTATTTGTAAAATATGAGTGAAATTATTTCTACTATCAAATTGTGGGTAAACTATAAAATTATAAAATACATGAAGAATTGAATGCAAAACACTCACTACTGTTGCACACAATGGGCTGCAGTTACGATCCAAAAGTGGTTAAGTATAGCACCGCCACAGATGTGGTACTTATAGGTGGTGTTGTGGATCATTTGTAGTGATACCTGGAACCAAATTGATTTAGATGATTAACAATTACTCATTCAAAAGTCAGTGACAACTATAAGTCCATACAATCCACGGAAACTGTCCCCTCTTGGCCTCTTTGCCACCCATGCCTTCATTCCTATGATACGATCTCCGACTTAAGCCACACTCTGGAAGTGATATACCATTGAGTCCATGACACGACTCAATATGATTACACAAACTATTAATTAAGTAAATCATAGCAATTACAAACATTACATTTATTGTCATATGTTCCCAATTAAATTAATTATTTGCAATATAAATGAATGAATGTTTGCAAATGTAATATTTTTAGAAATTAATTTTATATATTATATAACTTTCAAAGCAAATAATTATTTTGATAAATTCATTAAAATAAAAAAAAGTAATGTTTATGAATTTGTTTGGACTGTCAGTGGTGTTAAAATTATCTAAATAATTAATTCCCTAATCAAATCTTTTTATAAAACAATTCATTAATCTGTGGTTATATTACAAGTATATTTAATTAATAGCAATACTAATTAATAGTATATTAATAGGAATTAATGGTAATTCCAATAGTTTAGTAATGAGTTATAAAATAAAAATAATTTACTTTTAACTTTGACCTCACTTTTGGAGTACTCATAGTTTTCACGAAAACATTGAAGTTTTATTAGCAAAAGTTTTATTAAGATCTTTGCCTCAAATTATAGATAAATGGATTAAAATATGTAATACAAAGGTCTGTGTATATTACAGTTACATGTTTAATATTAAGACATAAAACTTATTGTGTGATTTTGAACTACAAGAAAATATCATAGACATACAGTATGTAGTACAGAATAAACTAAATTCACATAGCCAACTAACAGCATAGCCAACTTTAGCTAATGTTTGTCATTCATACCTACACTACACTAAAACATTTCCCATGTTTAGAAAGTTTAGTCTAAAATTGCAGTCATTTTTGCATATTTATGTCATTCGATACATACAAAAGGCAAACCGTATGTGAAAAATGTCTAAACATGACCACAAATAAACAAATATACATTTCGAGTCCAAAGTTCTCGGTTTCTGGTCTACTCTTACTGTAAACACGAGTTATTAATCGCAAAAAATAATGACTCATTCAATGATTAGGAACTCCTTTTCCCCTGATTTCTATCAACATTACAAACAACATAACGTTTCGATAGAGACTAGGAGTCCGAGAGACTTATATCCAAGTGTTACATTCTTTGCTCGTTTTATAAATACTCTCGACTTTGTTAATAAATATTAGACTTTTTGTGATAACAAAAATTATAAATAATAATTTTAAAGTATTTTGTTGGTCATAAAATATTATTGCATAGATTGCGAGATCCAGTCAAGAAAATATGAAACTTGTGTATAGACTCCTAAGAAAATAAATTTTTATATTAATTGTAAATTAAAATCTATTTCACAAAATTAGTCGGATTTACCAGGATGTGTGTCCGCACATTCCCAACCTTTTTAAAACAATACATTATAAACAACTTTAACATACACAAATGTTAAATAAAACTTTTATTTAAAAGATAAATACTTACCAAAAGAGACAATGCCTATCAGGGTAAACCTACCATTTTGAAATTGAAATGCCGGCCCACCTGTACTCACAAAACCGAATTAGTTTTATAATTCTGTGTACAAAAATAGTTGATTACCAGAATCTCCCTGTTGTAATTAAGAATATGTAGGTTAGGTATTATATAAAACTTTATTAAACTGTGGATATACTTCACACGTGTCGTACCCCTCGAGGTATGTGCAAAAGTGTGACCGAAAAATAACCACAGCTTTATCCTGGTACATACTGGAGCACTGTTCATCAGTAATTATCGGTAAATTAACTTTTTGAAGAATTTTAGAGGGCGTTCCCTTTTCTATGAGCCGACCCCACCCGGCCACTGTTATAACACCGGACACCTCAGCCCTTTGTATCATCGGTAAACATACCGGTCCTACATGTGGACCAAAGTTAAAATTGCGGTCCATTTTGATGAGACATACATCGGAATTCATTTCTCCAAATGAAAACTTTTACCAAAAATAAATACATTTAACAAATATGTGAACTGTTATGTCAACAAGTTACTTTTGAATGGACTCTAATGAGTTGTAATCTATATTCCTCGCCATCGTGTAGACTGTGAGCCCCCGCGTGAACTGAATAGTCGGCGATTTGGTGCTCACGACTGTTACGACAAATTTTGTTTAATTTCTCTTACTATAGATTTTTATATTATTTTCGGATCATAATTATTAAAGTAATCAAGAAACTTAAAATACTCGTATACTGTATCACCTCAATCTTAAGACTACCTGTCCAACCAATACTACAGAGGACATACAGTACCTACTCTTTAAAACAATGAGCGGCCGTAATGACCCAAATGTCGTTAATAATAGCTCCGCCGCATACGGTATTGCCGTTTAATTTGATGATTACAAGGAATGGGAACTCATTTCTCACGGCCCTCTCACCTCCGACTATATAGTTGAGGGCAGGCTTTAAACCACAGTTTTCGCTATTTACATACTCTACATAACAATGCAAATATTAATTATAATATGTTCATAATTAAATAATTATAATTAACATACGATTTCTTATTGATTTCAATTGTAATAAAATTACTACCAACGTAAAAAAGATTTTACTGTCAATAATAATAAAATTCATTTCATTGGCGTAAATGCCTTTTTTACATTACTTTCATTTTTAATTTCACGACAAAATGAAGTCTGAATTTATTGTTTATACTGATGTGAAGGCACTTAATTAAAAATACAACTTAAATGAAATTTACTTTAAATGATATAAATAAATAATTTACAAATTATAATAAATTAGTATTAATTATACACTAGAATCTAGTGACTAGATTATACTTATTTAAAAGCATTTTCGTAAGAGGATTAGTGTTTAGT